TTTATTATATTTTTATTATTATTTTAATAAATTAAATTTAAAAAATATAATCTTATATTAAAAATAATATACGTTGCAGTTATTTGAATAATCGAATTTGTTTATCTCAAAACATATCACTGATCGTATATATTTGAAGTTGTCTTTTTTTACTAAAAACGGAAACTACATAATCTTGTTATTTATTGTAGATTAACTAGTTGAATATTATATTTAATTATTACATATTAAGATATAAAATTTATTGTGTACTAATTGAAATAGTATGTGCGTGCCTAATAAACAAGTTTATTTAAGATTTTTAATTAATATATTTAATGTTAAGCGATAAGTATATTTTTAATAATTATCTATGAATATTTATTATTTATAAAATAATTAAAACTTAATTTTTAATCCTATAAATTTGTATTGTTAAATGGAAAATACTTCTAATGATTGGATTACAACTCAATTAAAAAATAATTATATTTTATTATAATATTATCTAAAATATCACAATATTAAACATTATACAAGTATGTAATTTAAATTGGATACGAAACTAATTTGAAATTTAAATATTAGTTTAATCATATTTTTTGTTTTATTATGTTTTTTATTTTATGAAATTAAAATTTAAATGAAACTAAACTTTAAATTAGCTTCTTAAAAAATCTACATAAATATCAACTTCCGAAAAAGAAAGAGTCAACATAAAAAATAAAAATAAAAATAAAATTGACCAGAAATAAGAAAACGACAGCCGCCGATATCGTGCACGTCACAGTTTGCATTTGTGATAATTTTGATTCAGACGAATGTACACGTGTCTCTACGTGAGTGGTTTAGTCAGTCAAAAAACTTGGCCAGAAAATAACTGACGGGGTACATTAGCAAAACCTCCTACTCTGTCTGCAACGCTTACGACATACAAAGCCATTTGAAGCTTGAATTTTAGCTTGGCGGCCTGAGCTTCAAAAATATTTAAAAAATATAAAAAACAAAAAATATATTTAGAAAAATATAAAATATATTTAAAAATAGAAAAAAATTAAAGAAAAATAAAGACGACGAAACTCGCGAGTCTTATCCCAACTGTAATCTACACTGAAATGCGTGCCCTTTAGCTGCTACCTTATTTTATTTTATTTTATTTTAAGAAAAGCCGTTCTTATTTTTTCAAAATCGGAAACGCGATCCATTCTCTTCATTAACAAACTTTTTCCCTCTCGTTTCATCGGTTTCTTTTCTGGTAAATTCATCTGAGCAGCCGTTTTCCCGGGAAAATTCAATGGAGTCGTCCGCTCAGCGTCGTCTCAAGGCCATTCAATCGCATCTTCTTCCCTCTTCCACCGACGATTCTGACTCGTTTCTTCTCCGCAATCTCACCGCCTCGCAATTTTTTAACGGTACTCTCTGTTCGCATCTGTACACGTTAGCGGGCGTGTGTATATCTATATTATCCACGTGATTATGGTTTGGTTGATTATTAATCTTCTTTGATTAGCTGAAGTGATTGATGCTTTTCATTTAGTTAATTGTTTTTTATTAATTCAGAAGTGGTTTACTGAACATGTATCTTCTTTTGTGTATCAAAATTGTTCTTAATGATTCGAATGCTTTTGTAGCTCAAAAGTACAGTGTGATTCTTCCGGAGAAATTGAATTCGGGGAAATGGAATGTCTATAGGTAATTTTCTTCCTTGTATGTATTTTTTCATTAATATATCTAAGCATATATGTGCTCCGGATATTAAAATCACAAATTCATATGTACAATTTTACTTGTTGTCGTAGTACCGTGCATAGATGAACTGTGTTTCTCTTTTGCATGGTAGATCTGCGCGGTCGCCTTTGAATCTTGTGAGTAGATTCCCTAACCATCCAGAAATCGGGACATTGCACGATAACTTTGTGTGAGAATCTCTACCATCATTTATTGCTTTATCCACTTTATTAATTCGTTACGTTACTAATCTTTCTCTTTATTGTGTACTTATTCATACTCTAGTTTTTAATTCTTTGTTCTCTGTAAGTTTGATTTAAATGATAGTGAAGTGTGCCTAAAATTTCTGCGACAACAGACATGCAGTTGAAACCTACCGTGATTACAAGTACTTGGGTACACGAATTCGGGTGGATGGAACAGTAGGAGGGTGAGTTATATGTAGGTTAAGTAAGCCTGACTTTTATGTCGATTGGTTGTTTCTCAGAGAGATTTGACGTGAAATCATGTTATATGGCTTAAACTTGAAGGTACAAGTGGATGACATATGGAGAAGTAGCGACGGCTAGAGAAGCAATAGGTTCTGGTCTTCAGTATCATGGGATGCCCCAAGTGAGTTACTTATATAAAAGTTGCATTGCTACTTTTCAAGGATTTATCTGAGCTAACTCATTTCAAGAACCGCGTCTGAAATGGCCATGATTTATTTTTAAAGATTGTTGATGATATTTTATTTTAAAGTTTTATCTACTATGAAATGGCCATTTCTGCTTTTTTCAACTGGAGATATGATCTCAACATTTTTCCGCTCATGATACAGGGAGCTTGCATTGGGCTTTATTTTATTAATAGACCAGAGTGGCTGATTGTGGATCATGCTTGTTCTGCATATTCATTCATCTCCGTTCCGTTATACGACACTCTTGGTATGTTATGAAGTTTGATCATCACCAATATATAGTAATCTTGCTAACTGTAACCATCATATTTATATGCACAGGCCCTGATGCTGTCAAATATGTTGTCAATCATGCTGATGTTCAGACTATTTTTTGTGTCCCACAGACTTTAAACACTGTGAGTTTGTCTTGCTCATCTATAGCTGTATACGGCACTACAAAGCATAGGTTGTGATGATGAGCTTGAACCAAAGTATAATTTGCTCCAAGCTGATTTTGTTAAGTAGGAAGATTGATGCATCTTAACTTCTTCCATATCAGACTCTCTATATCCATGAACTTAGTTGCTGACAAGTACTCAAGGTAGTCTGAGTGTAAACTCTTCCATATGGTTCAAGTTAGCGCTTACACTATTGTCTTCTACAGGCATGCATGTAATAACTTACAATGACATTTTCCTGTGAGGAGCCAGTTGATATGACTATCTTTTTTACCATTTTGGGTGTTATAGTTTTTTAACAAATTTTGGGATTCCAGTGCAGAGCACTACTTAATTGCTGATTCTTAGGTCTTCCAATTGTATATACCAAAATATATTTGCAGTTTACGGGGGAGGCTTTTATTTTCATTAAGATGCAAATGTTTTATGGAGTTCAAATGAGTATCTTTTGTGCAAAGTTTAGTGGTTTCTGTTGTCTATTCTGAGTCTCCGACCAGGCACGAATGCTTGTGGACCATTCATTATCTATGCAGTCTTCTATTTCAGTAGATTGCTTGTAGAAACCAGAATTGTTCGGGAAATTCTTAGAAATTGTTTCATTTCTGCATTATCCATTAAGTTATCATATTGAAGTATAAGTTTCAGTTAGAAATTGTCTTATGTCCCACACTGCTTTTTGGACTTGCAGCTGTTGACCTTCATATCAGAAATTCCATCTGTACGCCTTATAGTGGTATGTACTTATACCTCTATAAATTTTGCAGTCATACTGAAAATATATTGGATGTTAAGGCTCAGGAACCTAACATCTACTTCTTGCATTCTTCAAAATGCAGGTAGTGGGAGGCGTTGATGAACATCTACCCTCACTTCCCTCAACATCAGGAGTCAAAATAGTGTCATATCTCAAACTACTTAGTGAGGTATCTGCCGTTGTTACTTGTTTAGAATGTTTCTGAGAGAGATTTCTATTCTGTAGTTAGCCTAGCAATCGTTGATCAGTTGGTCTTTTGATTGCAACTATGGCCCATTTTTTCTTGACAGTTCGTATCTTCAAATGTGTCGAGGCTTTGCTGAACTTTGCCTCACTAATAGTTTTATTTTAGGGCCGCAGTAATCTGAGGCCTCTTTGGCCCCCTAAGCCTGAGGATATTGCAACCATATGCTATACCAGTGGTACCACAGGAACTCCAAAGGTGAGAGTAGCATACTTTGAGCTTTTTGTCTCTGCTTCTGCAGCGAAAGTACTTCTGTGATGCTTCTGCCACTCCTTTTTTATTTTTAAAAGATCACTGCTTTATTTTTTTTTCTCATTTTCTCTTGAAAGGGAGTTGTATTGACACATGCAAACTTGATTGCAAATGTTGCTGGCTTCAGCCTCTCAGTCAAATTTTATCCTTCAGACATGTGAGTTCCATACTTTGACTTTGTCACTCTCTAGAAAAAATACTATTATCTTACTTTTCATCGAAGATCTCTTCTGATTGAAATATCCACTCATCTAACAGTTACATATCCTATCTTCCTTTGGCACACATCTATGAACGATGTAACCAAGTTTTGGCAATCTACTTTGGGACTGCTGTGGGTTTCTATCAGGGGGTATGTTATCTCGGAATATTTTTCTCTTCAAGATCTGTTAAAGAGTTTTTAAGTAGTTAATCATTGATTGGATGAAAAAAAAAACATAGGGTAGACTTCTCCCTAATGGTCAGTGTATTAGACATCTGTTTTACTCTATTGTTTAAACGATCTGGGAACCATTTTGCTTAATAACTTAGTGTCGATTGTTTATGTTAGTGTTGTGTTGCTATTATTTGTATATTAGTGAGTTTCATAGTTTCTTAACTATGCTGCTCTGGCTATTGTCTTGTTGATTTGCAGGACAATCTCAAACTGATGGATGATTTGGCTGCTCTTAGACCAACAATATTTCCTAGTGTTCCTAGGCTATATAATCGTATATATGATGGGTAAAAATAATTTCACTGCTCCACAATTAGTTCATTATCTGATTGTTCAGTCATGCTGTATATGGCTCACTATTGCAGAATAACAAATGCTGTAAAGAATTCTGGGGTTTTGAAGGAAAGGCTATTTAGAGCGGCTTACAATTCCAAGAAGCAAGCCATAATGAATGGTAGTTTTCTAATAATTAGAATTGCTTTTTTCTTTTGTTAGAGGAAGGGGTTTTGTGGATATAGTTTTTTCCTTGGCTTCTGGACTTCATGGGTGAAAGTAGGTCTGCAACTTCACTCTTGCTGTTTATACATATAATTTCTATAGGTCGGACTCCATCTCCAATGTGGGACAGATTGGTCTTTAATAAAATAAAAGAGAAGCTTGGTGGACGAGTTCGCTTTATGGCTTCTGGTGCTTCTCCTTTGTCACCTGATGTGATGGACTTCTTGAAAGTGTAAGTTCTTTTTCCAATGAATCTATTTTGCCATTATTGCTTCTCATTTTCTTTTTCTTTCTCTTATGTGTATTAGTAACAACAATTAAATGTTATTCCACAGGTGCTTTGGTTGCCAAGTGGCTGAAGGATATGGTATGACTGAGACTTCTTGCATCATAAGCTGTATGGATGAGGGTGATAACTTATCTGGTCATGTTGGCTCTCCTAATCCAGCCTGCGGTGAGTTTTTATTTTGAGAATGTAATAACTTTACGTTGCATATGAAGAGAGTCCAAATTGCAGCAAACACCACCAAAAATAATGTGCAAAAGATAATAATATAAGCTAAAAACATCTTTATGCTTTCCATATGATTCGGGTGCTAGGTAGCTGTGTTGCTAAATTTATATGTTAAATTGATGACTGCAACTTTTGGCATGAGATCTTGATCCTTGGCTTTCTTTCTTGGTTATGATTGCTCTTAAACAATCACTGTAAACTGTTCAGATGTATGTGTTACTATTTGGATGTTCTGTTCGATATAAAGAAAAATGATAATTATATATGTCGCAGTTCTTTCAGACTTTTGATTTCTGATGATCACGTTATTTCTTTTGTATGCTTTAATCTATTTCAAGCCATTTTTAATTTATGACCATTAACATTGTTCACTTTTCCTCTTTTAGAAATAAAGCTTGTGGACGTTCCCGAAATGAATTACACCTCTGAGGATCAGCCTCATCCCCGTGGCGAGATCTGTGTGAGGGGGCCCATTATTTTTCGAGGCTACTATAAAGATGAAATTCAAACGTACTAAACTTTTAAGTTCTCTAGATTCCAATAATAGCAATGTATCTCCAATCGACTGACAGCTTATAATTGAATAGGAGAGAAGTAATTGATGAAGATGGTTGGCTCCATACAGGAGATATTGGTTTATGGTTACCTGGAGGTCGCCTCAAGATTATTGATAGGTCCTGACTATGGGTTCTTTTTGTCTTAATCTTCTGAGATAATGGTGCATTTGTGAAAATAGTTGTATTAGTTACTGTATTTCTATGTTTCTATCATGACAGGAAGAAGAACATTTTTAAGTTGGCACAGGGTGAGTACATCGCCCCAGAGAAGATCGAAAATGTGTATGCCAAGTGCAAATTTGTTGCTCAGTGTTTCATATATGGTGGGGAGAAGTCATCACATTATGTACATTAAACTTCCTAGCCATGATTGATTTTCTAACTACTAAGTTTTTGCATAGGTGATAGCTTAAATTCCTCGTTGGTTGCTGTAGTTGCTGTAGACCCTGATGTTTTGAGAGATTGGGCTGCAACTGAGGGCATCAAGGTCTTCTTTTCTGCCTTTTTCTTAAATTCTGTCTTTGATTATCCTTGCTCCAGAAAATATTCTCTTATTCT